GGGTGAAAAGACAAAGACCAACAAGTTTGTTGTCTGGAGATTTATTATTTGTTTACCCTTTTGAAGCTTTGAAGTGGATGAAGCTTTAATATTTTTTCCCTTTTGGAACTGTTATAAAATAAAATAAGACATATCTTGGCTGATTTATAGGCAAATACTCAAGAGTGAGAGCCAGATGTGAACGGGACAAAGCCCCGTCACAAAATGACCATTATCTTCATTAACAAATGTTCCTGACACACGAGTTCCGGTCAAAAAATAAAATATTTAAAGTGTTTTATTTTTCGTCCAATAAAAATGCTTCCCTCCTAATTATACTCGCTTTGTTTTTCAATCCTGTTAAGCCATAAAAAACGCTATAAATGGGGTCACACGGAAGTACAACAGGCAGTCAACAGGTGGCCAGGGAACAGAGACCTGTCACGGTCAGGCCGAGCGGTCAGAAGGAGAGCATCAACCAGAGTTAACATGTGTGAACTACTATGAGAGATCGACCTAGATCCGAAGCCAACTTATGAACTATACCACAAGGTAGCTGTCCCAAAGCCACATGTTGCTGTTGAAATAAACCACGTAAATCTATTTCTGCTGTTATCGTATTTCTTTCTTGCAACCATACGCTTGTCTATAACAGAACCTAATGCCTACCTTATGTAAGGACGTACTGTTGTATTAACATTTAAATCAGTCCTGGGAAGACTGTGGTCCATGGGCCACATGTAGCCCAATTGGCATTCTGAATGGCAGGCCTAATTCATGAGGAAAATAACGTTATTAAAATCATGTTTGCTTTCTTTTGTTCTCACTTGTTTACTCACACTCTATAATGTAACCACATACATAAACAATGTTTTTTGAATTTTATAACTTTTCATTGAAGGTAACATTGTCAGCATTTTAAACCATTGGCGATTTTCACTAAGGAAGATCACAAGTGTAAAACCTTTTACAGAAACAGGAAACGTTAATGATAATTTTAATTTTTCTCTATAGAGAATAAATATACTTCTTTTTAAAAAAATGTTTTTGCATCATCAATTGAATAAATTAGAAACAAAACACACAGCAGCATTTGTTAATCATTGTCATCAGTGATAATATATGAAGACATCAGTTTTTTTTTTAATTAAGAAGGAATCTTTTCTCTAAGGAAAAAAAACAAAACTTTTCCCCATTGCTAAAGGCAAATGCTTAAGTGCATTGGTCTTTTGTTGAGAAAATGTCTGCAGTATCTTTAATGAAGAATTACCTTGATTTTTTTTTTTTTATGGTAGTATGGCCTAACTTATGAGCTATGCCTCATACTGCCAACTGCTCAATAATGTTGCCCATGTCTGATATAGATATTTAGAAAAGTTATTTTGTATTGGCCTAAAAAGACTATTCTTACCAATGACAAACAAGGTTGTTTTTACATTTTGTCTGTAGTCTGTTTTACGTTATGGAAAAATGAAATAAAATAATGATAATAAAAAAAAAAAAAGAAATAAAAATACATTTTCCCATGATACTAGTAATAAAGGAACTAAAAATTTTATTACCCCACTTGGCTTTGCCAAATGCCTGTTAGGTGGTGCCGTTTAAGTCAATAAAAAGACAATTACTTCCTCTTTTCTCATCTAGCATGTAGATTAGGGCATAAAAAAAGTTTATATGAAAAGAGAATGATCTGATCCATAGTAGAAACAAGTTTTTGTTGCATTTACATTTATTGTTTACATGTGAACTCACACACAAAATACATCCAACATGAAACCTATAATTTCACTAACCTTTGAAACTAAAATAAAAACAATATATGGTTAAGCATAAGTTTTTAGCAAATATAAATGAATTTCTTTCAGGTATTTCTTCAAAGTTTCTGAAAAGCTTAATCTATTCAGATTGAAGGTTTTTCAAAGCAAATGCAATTTGAATAATTTCATTGGTCAAAGATTATCAGTGTAATAAGGATAAGTGAGTACTACCCCCAAATAGGGTGATGGTGCAAGCCTGATTAGGAGCCCTATGCAATGCTTTGTGACCCTTGCTATCATCAAATTTGCTTTTTTCTACCTACATTTATACACATTACAAATTAAACTAAACACAACTGACTATTAAAGGCTAAAAATTTTTTTCAGATTTTGATGTCAATCTAGGTTTTTTTTGTCCAAATCCCTGAATTTGTTTTGCTCATGCTAAGTCTTGAAAAAAACTTTATAAAATTCACTATTTTGTTTTCTATAATGTTGAATTCATTAAAATTCTTTAACTTTTTAACAAAAAAAAAAAAAAATCTCAAGCTGATGCTAAAAATTGCTGCAAAACATTTTTGATTATTTAAGATGGAATGATCTATTATGACATGTCTCTAATTTATATTTAGATACATTGTATTTATTTTCAATCTTTCTAGTTCACTGATATTGCATTACATTCGTTATTCTATCTACATAATTAGGTTACAATAAAATTTGCATTTTATATGAATACTACCTTAAAAAAATTGAGATGTAGTAGTGTCAGTGATTGGCGGTACATATCAGATTCTAGTTGAGTGCCCCTATCCCGTATCATACATGTGGCAGGAAGGTGGGGGGCACAAGACCCTTGCATCGGCCCTGAGTGCAACAAATATATTTATTGTTTACAATTTGACCCTAAACAGGATCTTAAGTAAATGCCCATTTTAATGATCTGTTTTTCATGTCACTTTATACTGACACCAATTAAAATGTATTGTCAGCTTCTCTTTATTCCTGTTTGAAATCTCTATCTTTTTATTAATCTACACTCAGGTCTTGTATTTTATATTGTGTTCTCAACTCTTCTAAACCAAACGTGAAAGATACTGACTACAAATCCTGTTTTTAATGGATGCATCATCTGCCATTTCCTTTGCGTTTCAAATGATTTAGGATTCAAAAAACAAAAAGCAAACATTTCACTTATAAATGATTGCATATTCAAAGTCATGCACTTTTACAAATACAGAGAAATCCTTAAAGTTCTTGACTGGACCCACTTCCCAAAATCAGTATTCTGAGGCTCAAATATCACAATACTGAATTGGGAAATTTTTTCAGCACACCATCATATAATTATTGTTATTGTGTATAAAAATGGCACATATGCTGAAAAACAAGAATAAAGAACTGAAAAATATCTACAACAAAAATGATTTACAAATTTTGAAGGAAAGTCATGGAAAATTGATTGTTTTATAATATTATTTTAAAAGCATTTTTATTCACTGTTTAATTTATTCTGAATTGTTTTCTTTTTAATTTGAATCAGATAATCACACATTCATTTAATTTATACTTCCTCAAATTGACTAAAAGTAACTCAGATATTTTGTTGCTTTGCTTGCATTGAGTGTACAACTTTTCAATGTGTCATACTTTAAATTTCCTTATGCATGCACTCATCACATGGTTTATTGAATTTAGCATATGAAAAAGAATAAAAACAGAAGTATACCTTTTTATGATAGAGATTTATATTCAATTTGTGGGAATTCAATTTTACTCAGATGCAGAAATTAAACAAAAATTAATTACATGAAAGTACATCAAATTTGTAATGGAAATTATTGGCTGTGGGTTTATTAAGTAAATTTATTTTTATTTTTCTTTGAACTTTGAATATTCTCAAGAATCACATAAGACTTTTACAACAGATCCCTGTTATCAATGCAAATTCTAAATAATATATTTTTTAAAATTCAAAGTTATTTCTTGCAGACTTTCTTGAGTTAATAGTGAGAAAAAAAATTCACTATTCAATTTTGAAGAGTCAGAAAGTCTCCTGGCCGATATCAGAAACTTTGATTTAAAAATAAAAATATTCAATTTTTTCTTCCCCTAACCTCCTTATGTTTCATGAGGAACAGAATGTGTGTGAGTGAAGATGACAAATGTAAATTTATGACAAAATATGATGGTACCAAGTCACTTGTAAAGAAAATTAATTCAAAGTATTATGCTTTTATGTGCCATGTCCCTTCAGGACATTGGCAATTGTAGCTCTCCACAATTTACTGTCCTTTGTAGCTCTTAATAAATTTTGTCATTTTACTATCTCTTCTAAACTCTGTCCTGCCATCCATTTACTCAATCTCTCTAGGTAGGTTATGTGTTGTTTTTCTATGTCCCACTTGCCTTCAATCTATCCTGTGAGTATCAAATTTTCCAAAGCCCTCTTTTCTCATTGTGCCCTAGAAATTTCAACTGTCTCTTCCTGATGTTAAGTATAAGTGTCCTATTTGTTTCCATTTTCTCTAAAACTTCTTGTTGTTCACATGTTTAGTCCATGATATTCTCAGCATCCTTCTGTAGAATCACATTTCTGTTGCTTCAAATCTCTTCTTCATCTATTGTCCAGCATTCACTGCCATATAGGAGGGATGATATTACATAACAGTTCAGTAGTCTTTTCTTTGTTTTTAACTAAATTTTCCTGTTTCTTACCTTTTGGAAGACATCTTTTTCTATCCCAATGTGCCTTTGGATTTCATTGTCACACTTTCTGACCTCTGTTTAAAAACTTCCCAAATATTTGTAAATTGTTGTACTTAAGATATTGACAAGTCTTATGTATTCAGAATCAACAAGTTTTCCTGAGTTATAGTTCTATATTTATTATTAAAACGTTATCAATAAATTGAGGGTAATGAGGGTGTGAATATAAGATGCACAAGCTCAACAAACATTGCAGCAGCTTAAAAAAATTAAAACAAATGGCATCATAGAGTATAAATTAAATAGATTTTAATTGTTTTATTTTACAATATAAATATTTATTTTTACAATATAAGAAAAGTCTTGCTAAATGCATTAAGTCAATGGCTAGTGATGTTTAGAAAATAATAAATGTTATGAAGAAGTGATTATAGACATGGATAATAGGAAATATCTAATAAGTTTATATAAATTAAAGCATTGGTATGAGATGTAAGAAAGACTAGGCATATATTTATGTGGGTGTGTGTATTAAAGGCAGGAATGGCACCGGCATCAGTAATTGAATCCATCAAAAAGTGAACTTGGTGGGCTGCAAAGGAAAAGAAAACAAGATTTGAAAGGGAAAAAAAAAATTCAGTTTTTTTTTTTATTTCTTATCAGAAAATCAATCCTAAAGTCTAAAAGAATTACAACAAAGAGTGTAAATGAAACTATTACTTAGAAGAATGTATTCAATACTCTTTAAAAAGAGATTATACTTTCAATTGAACCTGAACTGGAAGGCAATGGTCATAAATTCAATGGAGCAGAGAAAATGAGATTTGTTAACCAGGTAACTACACATCTAATGAAATATGATTGTACAGACTAATAATAATAAAACAAAAAAAAACTTATTCCTTCACATGTAATATTACATTTTGTTCACTCCAGATTTTGTCAATTACTGTTGACCAGCATGTGTATGTGACCCCGGACCATCACCCAAACACATTCTCATGTGTGATATCTGAGAGACTTCATCTTTTCTCTTGGGTAGGTATTTATATGTTAACATGGTTCTTTCCCACACTATTTGATGATGTGTGTTCTGCTGAGGAGGACTCAGCATACTTCCTGCTCTTCCCTACTACTGTGACAATGGACTGCTCCTACTTATAAATATGGCAAGTAGCCACATTAGAGTAGGATTTGAGGAGTAGCTGATTCACAGAAATTTTTTCTGTTCTATGTATGAGTATTTAATAAACCTCTTCTTTGTTTTCCCTACCTAGACTTCTGTTCCTTTGATATTCTCTCCAACTACAGCCTTCCTAATTCTTGGCTATTTTGAACAAAGATAACATTACAACAGTTCACCTGTTGAGCTTGCTACTGACATCAAGGGAATTGTGAATCCCCAGCTCAGAAGTCATCTCAGGTCAATCCTGCAGCTAGCTTCTCTGATATTAGAATTTAATTTGAGAACCACGACTACAATATATTACAGGTTCAAATTCTAGCCTCTTTTCTAATCCTCACCCCAACTTTTTTTCTCTTGCTTTCAAATCCAGGTCCCAAAGCCTTGTTGCTTATCAGAGAGAAGGATATATTTTCTGACCAATGAGAGAGCTGGAAAATATAAAAAAGAGTTTGAACATCATTATCCTGTTCTCGGTGCCATAAAGTCTGGGGGTGGTGCTCACAGCTTGTCGGACCCTTGACAGCTCCCAAAGCCTTGTTCTTATCAGAGATAAGAACATATTTTCTAACAAATGAAAGGGCTAGGAAATTTGTATAGTAATTTTGGAGGAAAAAGTCCCTGATATTTCTGAGCCTCTTGATTTCCATATATTCAGAGAATCTTTGCCTATTTGGCAGTGAGAATTTGGCAACTGTCTATGAGGTTAGCGATAGAGAACAAAAGTCAACTTTGGAACTAGTTTCAACAAAGAAGATCTACCTGCTGGGCTGTAAAGACAGACTGTCAGTCCACTATTAAAAACCAATTGAGAGTTGCCTCTTTGCAATGAGAAAATATCTGTCGCTGGCCTACGAAATCATTCAACTACAAAATTCATATCATCTGACAGTTTCCTCCTATACAAGAACTCTGAACAAATCTGTGTGTATTTTAACCTTTAACAACAATCTACTAATCGCTTAAAGAACTTTTTAGGTGCTCAGAGAAATATTTTGAGCAAGCCTTTTCTTTTATAAACATTTTTTCTTCCTTTGAAATTAAAGGAATTTTCTTTCTCTTGTAATTGTGTATATCCTTTTGCTCTTTTTTTTTGTGCATGTAAATAAACATTTTTTTCTTTTATTGTTAAACACCAAGCAGAAGTTTGAGTCTTTATTCTTCCACCTAAAAAGCTGTTGTTGCTTTTTTTTCAATTTTTTGTCACATTTTTAACCTCAACCCTTTCATGTGAGAAAGCTGGGACAAATTTCCCACACTGAAGGACACTAAGTGTAAAGTCTATTCTGGCATGATCTGGGGTGAGACACACACTATACATACTAATTGCTAACGAATCTAAATCTTTTCTAAACTACTTTTCTGCTTATGTCCACAGAACAAACATAACAACAGAAATAACTTCTATCCCAGATAATTATTACATTTAGGATATGAATTAGTTATGGGAAGTAAAATATATTGTTTGGATATAACATGAAAAATTATTTGTATAGAAATTTTATTTTGCATAAGTATGTGATTTATTTTCTAATAATGATTGCCAAATAGAAACAGTTCTTCCCTCCCTATCTTTTTTATGATCTGTTTGATAATTATAATATAAAACAATTAAATACTCAACCTGTTGTGGTCTTGCTTTGCCATAAATCTATCCAAGATTTCTTCAGGCTCTGTTATGGAAACAGCATCTGTCAAAAAAATAATTTAACAGTAAGGCTACGAAATTGGAACTGGTTCCAGACACAGCAGATTTACACTTGCTAAAATTCCCAGCAGACTTTCTTACAATATTAGGAGTTCATTTCCCAAATTCAATTCCCAAACTTAGCAATTGACTTCTATATTAATTAGCAAGTTGATCATGTTTGTCTGAGAGGAGATTAAAATGTTCTCATGCAGGGAATACTGAATTCTAAGAAGATTGTCTTTACACACATCCAATAAAATTATCATTTAAATTTTATCAAAGTGACAGTGGCTGAGACAAAATCAAAGCAAAATCAAAAGTTTTCTTTAAAGGTTTCATGAATTTTATTGAATGTTTTTTTATGCAATTTATATAAGCCAATACTTATCAGTCTGCACGGATTAAAATATTGGGCTAAAAACAATAAGATGTTGTTTGAGTTCACAATTTCATAGTAGATTTTAAAATAATTTTTTTTTCTTATTTTACTGAATGGTATAACTTGAGAGAAAGAAAGAAATTGGTTCTTTAATCCAGAAAGAATATTTATTTATTCAAAATAGGTTTTTATATATATTAAATGTTTAGGGAATGTAAAGGTGTAACATCAATAGAACAAAGAATATTAACAAAGAAATCGTTTAATAAAGTTCATTTGTAATTACGAGATTTCTTTCAGCTTATTGATTCCTTCATCTTATTATCATTGCTTTCTTTCATCTTATTATCATTGCTTTCCTTTATCTTATTACCATTGCTTTCCTTTATCTTATTACCATTGCTTTCTTTCATCTTATTATCATTGCTTTTTAACACAATGCTTTGGTTCAATATACACTTTACCCATGATACTGAACAGTTACAAATTGATAGAAAAATAAAAGAACTAAATTTCAAATAGTCTTGTTGGAAGTTACTTATTATTTCTGATTTTGTACTGTTTGGTTAAAGATTGTATTGAGTGCAAGTGCTGTGATTAAAAAGCAACAAATAGGAGGATGAAAAAATCGTAATAAAATAATAAAAGTGAAAAAGCTTTATATAAAAATTTCTAAAAGTATATTTGTCTACTGAAAAATATTTTTTAAATTTTTATATTCTTTTTACCATTTTATGCTTATATTGTTATTTATTGCTATAATTAACTAAAGTACACCTGATGTATGTATTATGATATTTTTCCTGTATTAATAAAAAAATATTTGTTGATAAAAAATAAATATTTTACATTATGTTTCAAAAAGAAACTTCTCTCCTACAAAGATATTAATAAAGTATAAATCTGTCAAATATAACTTGTTCCCTAAATCATTCATAAGTAAATAATTTAATAGAATTAGACAAAAAACTGAATTGAAAAAATAATCACCTCACTGGCATAGCTTAAAAGAATGGCTATAATTAAAAGGTATAATTATTAACGTTGGTAACTTTTCTAATTCTAATGTTAATTCTGTGTCCTTTAAAATGAACAAAATAATCCCATAAACAAAAATACGTTACCAGTCATATTTTGTAGCTTTTTTAATCTTGCTTCATTTTTTCTTGCTATCTTATCTGGGTTGAGACTTACAATAGAACCAACTGAATTACTTCGAAGTGAAACATTATCCAAAGGACTCTGGAAAATTTTAAGCCAAAATATGATAAATTACTTAGCAAAAAGCATCATGTCAAACAAATATTAAAATATTGCTTATATTAGTTCATTAACTGCATCTTGTTTCTCTGAAAGGTAAAAATGACTGATTAATTTGGAAAACTTGTAACAACATTTTAACATAACAAGTTCGTATGGTGATTTTCTAAGTGTAACAAAAGTGAGGATTGAACTCACTTTTCAGTTGTAATTTATCAAGCAAAACAAGCTTGCTAATCATTACACCACATTGAAGTGCCCATAACTAGTATGATTTTAAAGTTTGAAAAATTAATTAATTTTTTTCATTTGGTATTGAGAGAGAGAATGAGCGAGTAGTTGTGGGGGATCATTAAATAGAAGAAAATTAACAAATGAAAACTTGTAAAAGATATTTTTTATACATTATTTTGATAAACTATTTAATTATGCAAACTTAATTAATAACTGACATTAATTATGCAAACATAATTAATAATGGACATTAATTAATAATATCTTGATAATCAGGATTTAAAAAACAAGGAAAATTGGTATCTAATTTTCTTTTTATTAAAATACGAGATTCAAATAATTAGGAAACCAAGGGATGTTCCCAACTCAAATTCGGCTTCATTTAAGACTTGAACATTTTCAATTTTATGATGACAGTACAGTACAAATAATTATTTTCTTACAATATTTTTCCAAAACTTTATACAAATTGCTTTAATTTTAAGAGAAAAATCACTCCAATTACTCATGTAGACATTTGTCATTTGATTATTTTTTTTTCTTTGTTTAGAAAATAAATGAAAATCATCATGAAGGACAAAGTCTTCAAATAAACCTGTGGAAAGCAGAGAAGTGAGTGAAGGGAAAGGGTTATTATTTCTATCATTATGGATTCATTGCTGAATCTAGAATTCATCTTACCTTTTTTCAGATACAAATCCCAAATCTTCAAAACAGTTAAATCAAATATTAAGTTGGGTTATAAACAAAACCAATTCAACACTAAACACACTCCAATATTCTTTCATAAAAGTAACAATTCTTACAGCTAAGTGTCTAAAACAAAGGAAAACAATAAATATACTTCATCTCACATTATTAGCCACTTCATGTTTTATTGACATATAAAATAAATACTTATTGTAATAGGCCAAGTCAGTCTAAAGCACATCAGATCTAATGACGGTTTCACCTGCAAAGGGGGACACGGGTGCAAATTCTTTTTCTTTAATAAGATTTCTCAAATATTCAGGCTGGTAGATAATTAGATATACTGTTTAATATTTTTTCTTTTTAAATTACTATCTCCCATGCAAGACAGTAAAAGCCAAGAAGACGCAAGGGGTTACAGGGTGTGGAAGAATTAGAAAGAGAAACATTAATAATGAGCAGGAAGAGAAATGGAGTAATCAGGTGGACAGTAGATATCGATTGACATTGCATTTAAATTTTTGCAGATTAAAGTTGGTTGGAAAGCATGAAGCTGGAAGGGTGTTCCACAAACGAGAAGTGCTAGAAAAGAAACTGCATAGAACTTACAGCTACATCTAACCAGCTCAATTGTGACACTAGTCTAATATTGCACTTAAATTCAAAAAGACTAGGCACCATAGCGAAGAGCTCATTCGAACACTTACCATGAAAGTATTTATAAAAATATGTGTATCCAATAAAAATAATGTTTAAAGTGATGAAAAAATGAATGAAATCTAAATGTTTCATTTGGTGAATGATGACAACATCTACCTGTGCTAGTCAGGATGAAAGCACATTCATTTTGCATAGATGTAAACAAATGATAGCCATTTGCCTGAAATGTCCTGTTTTTAAGATTCAAATGAATAGCCATTTGAAGCTTTAAAATGGAATGTAAGGCTGATATGAAGGATAAAGAGAAATGTTTAATAACTTCAGAGCTTGAAAAAAGTTAAACAACAATGGAATTTCTAAAAATGATTGGCAAGTACCAGCTGTGAAAATCCTGGCCACCTTAAATGCTGGTTTGATAAGGACAAGCTGACAACTTTATCTTACCAATCTGTGTTTATCAAGGGAGAAGTAATTATAAATTTATCTTTTTAAGCATTGTGGTAGCAAGGAAGTGTAAAAAAGCACAAGATGTTGGGTCCTAGATCAATCATGTGAGATTAATGACTGGGCCGCTTTAAAAGATATCTGTACAGAAAATCAAATGAAATCGCCAATATAATACATGAAGATAGATTTTTTTCCAACTGTTCTATTCACCAACAAATGTCATTTGACTCTTAATGGGTCAGAAAAATGGAGCTAAAGCTGGGTGACTACTGGCAAAAACTACTTTCACAGACTGAGATGCCAACAACGTGGAGGCAATGTGATATTTTGAAGTAGGACTATACGTAGTTGTGTGTGTGTGTGTGGCAAGTTCTAGATAATGTTAAAATGACAGCTCAGACATATAGTAAGTTTTTGAAGGCACACATGGAGCTATGATTCAAGAAGTGCTTTTAGAAAGCTGCTTTTTATGCTTGACAATGTTCAGTTACATTTAACAAAGAAAACTAAAGATCTAGATAAAATGGCTGTCACAACACTGGTTTGAATATGCTACCTTGTTCATCTGACCCTGTGCCTTAGTGGCGTTATTGCCTTGCTTGGGATGAAGTGATAGAAAACAAACAAATGAATCAATCCATTTCAACAATGCTAGGTATATTAATAAAAAATATACTAATATCCATATACACAGGGGATACCAAATTATACATAGGTACATTCCTCAACAAATTCTTTGCTAAGCAAAGAGAACCACATGTCATTGAAATTCACATTAGCCCAACACATGTATCTGAACAATAAGCATCCCTTTTTTAAACTTTCTCACTACCTAACAGTGTTCCCTGTTAATTATCCTCATCCTAAAAAAGAAAATGTATTCTTCTCACTTTACATGAAATGCATTTAATTCAACTAAATTTGGAACATTAATGATTTTTCTCAGTCATAGATAAATGATTATAAATGTTTATTATCCTGAGTGAGTAACAATCATTTAATAAAAAAACATTACTTTTCTCTGAGAACTTATAACTTATGCAAAATAAAAAAAAGGTATAATATATGTATTCATACATTCATTTATTAAAACTAATTGGTCATTTTCTTTACAAAGTTTTATATGTTTATTAAATGTTTACGAGACTTTTATACCAAGTGATGATTTTGATGATAGTGACGACTACAATCAGCTGAGTAAAGAAGACAGAAATTAATCAATAAATATAAATTCTCAATAGAATTAAGATGGATAACAATGAAATAAAAATAACTAAGAATTATATTTTAAGCTGGTATTAAAAAAATAAGGAAAACAAAAACATTGTTGCATCTTTAATGAAAAAGTTGTTCAACATTAAACAGGGCATTGGCTGAATACCAATTTATGGGAATAGGATGAAATAGTGGAAATATAATAAAATATTCATTTATGTGTCCATGTGGATAGGAAAGCTCCTGCAGACATAAAACAAACGTATCAGGGAAATAAGAAGTTGCACTTATAAGAGAGGGATAAAAAGATATTCAATCACTGACTGCAAATTCTTGATTATACTACAAATAAACAATAACAATGAATTTTACAATGTATTTTAAGTTTATTTTTAATGAGGGTTTCATGAACTGAAGAGGACAACAAACTAAAAATGCACCTGTGATTCTTTACTTAAATTTAAACAATGCCAGCAATGGGCAGGTTTACAGAAATAAAAATGTTCAATAATATTAATCAATGTAAGAGCTAACATTAATCAATAAAACAGCTTTCAGAAATCTTTAGGTCTCTGTGGGGAACTGATATTTGGATTTATATGGTCTTATATTGATTAAAAACTCATGACTCAGCCAAAAAGTTTCAGATTAAAGAAAATAGAAATGTTCATAAAGGATTGAGTTTGAAATGAACATTAAGAAGTTTTGGTCTGGTTTGGACTATTTTGTTTAATGGCATATCAACCTCAATGGGTTATTTAATGCCAACAACATTTTTAGGATAGATTTGTATGAATAGAGTATGTATTCTTTGGTTTAGATTGGTTTGGTTTATTTTGTTTTATGGCATATCAACCTCAATGGGTAATTTAATGCTGACAAAAATTTTTATTGCTGGTAATATTTTGTTTTGTCAAAAATCTGTTTCTGGTAATATATTTCCTTCAAAATTGTATTGCTGGTAATAATTTTTTTCAAAAAAGTATTGCTGGTAATAGTTAACTATTTGCCCATAGCTGGACCCTAACAGGTGCTACCACCCCAGATCAGGATGGACCTGGAAACACCAGCAATTAAGAGGTGGTTCCACGCTCCTGAAATCCTCCTGATCAGAGGCCTTGCTGCTGGATGTAGTTTAACATCTTACTCAGGATGCGGATGTAGTTTGTCTTACCCAGGATGATAAGAAGTTTTAGTAGACAAAAAAACAAAAAAAAATATTGTTAAAGAAATGAATATACAGACTTCACACATTCTAAAAAGGAATATTATTATGAAAGCAATTAGGTTTTTAGGAAAGTTTGTTGAGTACAATTAACTCATTAATTATAACCACAAGAATGTAGAGTTAGGAACACATTACTCATCCACACAAATGTAATGTGCATCTGTGTGTGTGTGTGTATATATATATATATATATATATGTGTGTGTGTGTGCATGTACATGTGTAACCCTTTTTTTTACATCACTAGAGAGTTCCCAATATAGTGGTTGAATTGCTTATCTCTATGTAGTGAACTCTTCTGATAACAGGCAAAATGCCATAATATACTAAAGATATTGTGTTAAAAGAACTCTTTAATTGCAATTGGCTCTGCAAATAAATAACATTTTAAAGTAAAAGATACATATACATGGATGAGAAGAAACAGTGATAGTAAGTAGTTTGCATAATTGTATAATTTTATGGACTGGTAGAATTATACACATGAAAGCTTCTTGACAAGTCAGATATATGTGAGGTCTGCTTAACCAATAAAAAACACACAAAAATAAAAATAGCAGAATTTTCTTTTGTCCTCCATATTTTATATGCTTGGTCTTGTCATTTGAATTAGATGTATTTGGGCAGCAATTTTTTCATTCATGCACACTGGATTAAAACCAATGTGTTGATAAAATGTTGCCCAAATACAACAAATATAAATAGTGGCTTGTAGAAGTTAATACTCTCAGGACAAATTGAAGGCAAAAAAAAAAAAAACAGGAAAAGAGTAAGTAACCTATTTGACAAATTTTAGTAAACAGATGACAAAACAAGGACAACTTTATCTGTATAAAATTTCCAAGATGTCTTCTAATTTACATTATTTTTTGGCAATCTTGGATCTTCGTGCTTGCAAAAAATGGAATGTCAAAAAAAAAAAAAAAACAACTTTTCTCTTTGCACTGCTATTATTTTTAACTACCTTCAGTCTTTGGCAATGTTATTGTTTTAAAAAGTAATGATTAGAATTTTAATAAAACTAAAATATATGTTGAAAGTAAAAATTTATACATTTTTTTGTTCTTGAGAATTTACAACAAAAATATTAAGCACTAATTATTTATTAAATTGTTTATTTACAAGAATAATTTTATATTTACAACATTCTAAAAAAGCTAACACAATTGTACTAAAACTAAGGCAATGCAATATTTATTATTTAACAATTTATAAAGAAATAAATATGAAAACAATTTTTTATTCATAAATTTATAAACATTTACTAAATTATTAAAATATGTGAACCAACTATAAGGAAATCCTTATTTACCATTTTATAAAGTTCAAATTGATTGTCAATTAGCCAATATTTTGCCAACCATTTCAATAAACAAACTAATAAATAATAGTGAAAATAAACAACATAGTAAATAGTGTTTATTATTTTTATTACTAATGCTCAAGAAGAAAGAAAATGTATAAATTCACTTTCATATGTTTAGTTTTTATTACAATTCTATTCATTACTTTTTAAAACAAACATTAGCAAAGGGTGAAAGTAATTAAAATAAGAGTGGTGTCATGGAAAAAAAACATCTTTTTACACTTCGTTTTAAAAATAAAAAATTAATGTGATGATTTTTATGTAATTTCATTGTAATCAAAAACTTTGGAATGTTACATTTTTGATAATTGCAAATTGTGGAGATGTGAATGGAGTAATGGTTAACAGTGTGGAAAATGGAATCAGAAAACCAAGTTCAAATTCCAGTTGAGACAGTTCATGGTTACTTTTCTCTAATGTCCTTGGGAAAGGCCTGTAGCCATTACTTTTCTCCCATCTATGAACCAAATAGTAGAGTAGAATTGGTTCTCTAGCCTTGGTTGGCAACCAGTCTAGAATAAAGACAATTTGTACACAAGGACAAGTTGTCATCATTTCCTTTGTATTCCATTAGTAAGAAGGAAGATCCATTTGAACATCATCTTCCCATGAATTGCTACTTTGTGGAACAGACTCCCAAGAAAATGCTTCCCTGATCACTACAATCTTAACCACTTCAAGTCTAGAGAGCTGTTATCTTTCTCACATACCCTTATAATCTTCACTTCTTACCTATTCCTATTATGTCCATACAACAGCCTCTTTCAGTAACCCTCTACCTTGAGTGGCTCTTAGGTCTTGTATTGGGTGAAAAATAGTGAAAAAAATAACCACTGCATTATTTTTCTCCCAAAAAATCATGGCAATGAACAGTTTATAGATATAGATGTCTATTTAAAAGAATGCTGTGGAGATCCATATCTTAATGGGATATAACAATAAATAAATGATTAATTCACAATTTGGTAAATTTTTAAGCACGGATGCCTAACAAATATAACAATGAATGTACTTACTAATAAAGGAGATTGCAATCGTCTTCTACGTCGTGATCTGGCAGAATCGGTTTTCTGAATTCTCTTGTCAGAAAACATATCTGACAATAAAGGCATACTGTCTGCATCTGCAAGTCAGAATTTAAATCAATATACATTAACTTTACATTGGCTGGTATGGATGAGATAGGATATGGAAGTGTTATTAGATAGTCTAAAGAATAAACTCATCTATAGGTGGGTATGAATCTATAGTGCTATCAACATAGTAATTCAGATTTAAAATTGTTGTCAGGAATCTCCAGTATCCTTTTCTGTAACAATATTTCTGGCAGATTGACAAGAAATTTATCATTAAAAACATTTCAATGCCTAAATCTGTTTACATATTTTATTTCTTTACCTGCACTCATTCTGAATTTCAGTAATGCAAAATGAGAACAATTAAAAAGTTTTTTTAAAGAAAATTGCACATTATTTAATATATATCAACTGATTATTTTATGTTATATTGGTCACAAGGTCAAGTTTCTTATTCAGTAAAGTCAAAAGTTCATCAAGTTCATGTGATAAAGAGAAAGTAACTCTTTCCTTAGTAAAAAGGCTTTCTGACAATTGAGTTGCTTTGGGTATGAGTCCTTATCAACCTTGTCTTTGAAAAACCTTTTATATCAAATTGACTAGAAAAAAATAAATAGGGATTGTTCTAGATTTCTTTACCAAAAAAATTAATAAAAATGTAATTCTAAAATTTTCCAGGAAAACAAAAAAGAAAGAAATTTACCAAAGAATGCAGATTTAGAATCCAACATCGGTTGTGGACTAACAGTTTTTTGTCTTATTAGTGGAGGATGTTCAATTTCATTGTTACCTCTGAATGGGGCTGAAGAAAAAGAAATAAAGAATAAAAATATACAAATAAAGAAATAGTTCTAATAAATAAATGGTATTTAATATTATTGTTGTAAATTCTCAACAACAAAAAATTTATAAATTCAGTTTTATTACAATTCTAATCATTGCTTTTTAAAACAATAAAGATTGTCAGGCAATAAGAGTAATTAAAATAATAGTGGTGTCAAGGGAAAAATCATCCTTTTTTGCAGGCACAAAGGTCAAGTTTTTCCAAAATGATTTAGTTAATAAATTTTGTTATAATGAGTTTATTTATCAAATTAAAACTTAAATAGTATGAGTGAAGTGATAAGAATTTTATGTACATCCAAAGAAAGTGCTATCATGCAATTGAAGAAAATTAGATTTAACAGGTCAACAACTAGGATTTGATGAAGAGGTCGTGTAAGAAGAAAAATGCAGACACACAGAGGCATTTGTTATTAGTTCAAGTAAAAACCTATCACCAGACACACTAAATTAAGCATTAATGCTTTGATTTCACACTTACACTTAAAACATGCCGAAAATCAATTAAAACAGAGATTTCACATTTATTTTTAAAACCAGAAATATGAAAACCATTTATTTTTTCAAATTGCTAAAAAGCAGTTCATAAAATTCATGCTTTTTTTCATCAATTTTGGCAGTGGGTTGTTTAACTGCATTTGAGTAAATTCTTAATAGATTAGTGAAGATAGCAAAAGTAAAATTAGTGATTGTTAGTAATGAAGTGGATTATAATTTGTAAATTATCATAAAATACCCTTTTGCCTAATTTTTTGTAGTGTCTTCTCTTGATGGTTAATCAAGGCTCTCTGTTGGATTTCCAAGCTGTCAAGATCAACTGGGGAATTGGGAAATTGAGTTCGGAAAGCATTTCGTGATCCTGTTTGCTCTATAAAAATGCAAATAGAAGTTGTTTCATTTTTTTTTTTTTTTTTTTTTAACTACTCTCAAATTTAACATATTGAAAAATTTCAGATAACAGATTTTTTATATTAAACTTTATTCAATACAGTGCTCAAGAGCCACTCATGGTAGAGAATTACTGTAAGTGAAAGATGTGGAAAGAAGTGAAGATTATAAGGAGGATAGATAATGATTGACCCTTGACATGAAGAGGTTAAGATTGTAGTGTTCAGGGAAGCATTCACCTCGAAGTCTGTTCCACAATGTAGCAGTTCTTTGGAAAATGTTGCCTGAATGGAATTTTCTTCTTACATTTGGAATACAGAGGAAATGAGGATGATTTGACTCCATGGAAGTAACATATCCTGTCCTTGCAGTAAAAGTCTGGATCTAAAGAATGGAGCTTATCTGAACATTTGCCATGGAAATAGCAACAGAGTAGATACATTCTTAAAAGTGTTTACTCTCATATTATAATTATTCTTAAATGTAATTGTTTAAAAAAATATAAAATATCCCTAAAACTTCAAAAGGAAACATTTTCCCATTGTGAAATAACATTACGACAAGTAAGGGAAATGTTTGAATATTTTTTATACTCTCTAATGAAAGAAATTTCTAAGCCTTCTTTCCTCATTATGTCCCCAGAAATTTCAATTGTCTCTTCCTGATGTGGACCAAACATGTGAGCAATAACAAAGTCTTAGAGAAAATGGAAACAAAACATGTTTGGTTCATGGTATACTCATCAACCTTCTGTACAACCACATTTCTGTTACTTCAAGTCTCTTCTTTATCTGTGAGGAGATAAAGAAGAGACTTGCAGTAACATCTTTATTAAAGAAAAATAAATTGTTTAAACCATGTTCTGTTGTTTTCATCATATTTTTTTGTTTGTCTCAAATCTGGTTTGGCAACATATCTCTTTTTTTCTCGGTACCCAATAATCTTTCTGCTTTATTCTTAATAGTAAGACTCAGCTGGTTGTATGTTCTGCTATAATATTGCTATTTTGGAATTGCAAGGATAACATTTACTACAAAGCAAGTTACAAATTTAGATATAATAAAAAAAAATAATAGTGACAACTATACTATTGATAAAGCCTACACTTCTTTGTACTAACCTTAAAACAACTTGACTTATAAATTAAAGCATACTTCTAAAAATAATAAAACAAAAATGTTGAAATTTGACTGAAGTTCCCCAAATGTTTATTCCAAGTATCTGATACCCAATATAACCTTTAATAAATTATAATTTTTTATTTAATTTATTTTTAAAATCAAATTTTCCCCAAGCAAAGCAGTAAAGCTATTAAGACACAAGTGGTTATTGGATGTGGAAGAATTAGAAAACAGAAACATTACTAAAGAGCGAGAACAATAGATGAGAAAATCAAAATTAACTGGAAAGCATGGAGCTGGAAAGGAGAACACCAGAAAGCTGTAACACGAGGGGAAGTGGAAAAATCAGGTGTGGCTGACCACATATAGAAAGAGAAGAGAGATTAGCGCCCTCTGTGAGATCAGGTTGAGATCATAGACAAAGAACACCATTAGAAAATTTGTAAACTTAAGGAATCAGCACATATGCTAGGCCACAAAAATCTCCTGAGACAACCAAGCATAGAAATGAATACAATATAGGAACCATTAATAAAGAGTGCCAGAGAAAAGTGATAATAATAACAAAAATTGCAATATGAGCTCTGGTTAAAAACATGCAATGATAACAGCAAAAATTGCAATATTAGCACTGGTAAAAAATGGTTGCTGAAGACATTAGGTTTATAGTACACAGAAATTCATTCACAGATGCCCTCAAGGATACATAGCACAGTGGATAAAGGTCCAATGTGCTAGTGATAGGACCCAAAGAGTGTGAGTTCAATACCTGGTTAAGGCAGTGGAGAACTTTCAGAGGGAAATTAACAGGAGATAACTGATAACTGACATCCATTAAACATACCATGTGGAACTAGAACAGTCTACCTCAGTGTGCGAAATAAAGGGTTCAGTTTGACATTCCAACCAAAGCCAACTGAAGAAGGCCGAAACGTTGTAATAAATATGGCGACAAAGATGAGGACAATAGTCTGAATAATGTAAATAATATACATATATACATACATACATATATTTTATCAAGAATCTATAAATATATAACAGGAGCAATATATGGTAGTAATATTCTAAGCATGGATGAATGGGAAATATACAAGATAGATTCTGCTGAGAAAAATTGTCTAGCATGACACTTTGAATTTTCTTCACGGCTGACCTAGCAATGGATTCAATATAGTCTTTCCACTTCATGTCAGCTGAGAATGTTAGCCTGAGAAGACACAATGATGTTAACCTCCAGGAAAAGACACAGTCATGCTGATAAGGGGTCTCTCAGATGATTAATAAAGAATGGTTTCATTTTAAGAAGTCATTCTTTGTCCCAATTATGTCATCAATGCTTGGACTGTATCTGTGGTAAGCTATAATGGGGGAGTGATTGAGTGGATAAAGGGGAAGTTACAAACTCTAGACAGAAAGACCCAAATATTGCTTTTTGAGAATGGTACCCTTCACCAAATGTCAAATATGATAATATAATACACACCTGAAAAGAAAAAGTTAGAAGATTTGAAGAGTGTGTAGTGAATGAACATCGGTTGTACCTGATAAACAGTAAAGAGACACTCCTAAAGTATATGGTGTAATCCTAAAACCTTATAACGAAAACATCAAGAACAAAGAAGAGGGTACTGAAAGAGAAATTAAAAGTGAGAGAAGCAATGCTGTTATATGGACAGTTTAATAGGGACACCAAGGCCATTAAAACAAGATTTGTTGGACTGGATGATGAAAAGCAAATTAAAATACGAGATTGAATGCCTACTGGTAGCTTCCCAAGACCAAACCCTGAATACTAATTCTGTTCATAAGAACATCTGCCACCAAGTGGCATGGAGGTTGAAAATGTCACCTACAGTCACCCACAGTATTAGTGCCTGTGAAATGTTTGTGCACTAAGCATACAAGCATTGCACTGATGAAGTGGCCTCATGTCTGCATTTGTGTCTATGTAAGAAGACTTGAAGTCAAACAGAAATGGTACCACCACAAGCCAGAGAAGGTGAACAAAAATGACCAAGTCATAACATACAGACTGTATACTCAAGGCTACCAAACCAGACCTCACAGTCATTGGAAAAAAAAAATATGAGAAAATGTGGCTGTTCCTGGTGACCATAATATTGAGGTTAAAGAAATTGACAAGCTTACAGAATATACAGACCTCTGAATTGAGGTTGCCTGAATGTGGGGCATTCAGGCCACTATTGTCCAAGTTATCAATGGGGCATTGGGGTCTATACCAGCAAACTGAAAGACCTACATTGAGAAAAATCAGTATAAAGCCTCACATCCCATCATTTCAGAAGTCTGCACTGCTTGACACTGCAAATATTCTGCAAAAGGTGCTATCTGAGCTCATACAACTTGATGTAGAACATACACAATGCAAGATCTCCAGTTGAAAATGAAAAACCATGTGGAAGAAGATGGCAATGATATTAGTATTAGTAGTAGTAGTAGTAAAAACAAACTGCAAAAATGTTGATTCTTCATTTTGTAATTTATGAGAAAATTAAAATACTTGAAAAAAAAAATCATTTTGAAAATTTAAATCCATGTAAAGAAACAAACAAGATAGAAAAATATATATTCTGTTTGCTTACTGCGGTATTTGAGTTGATTGAAATCCTGAAGAACATCAGGATTTGTAGATGTAGGTGGCTCAACTGTAGTGTGAGAACCTCTGCGTAGGAGCACTGCTTTTTGGTTGATCAAACTGAAATAATATCAGATCATTAAAAGAACATTAAGAAAAATTTTAAATATGTGTTAGGTACCTTTTTTATTTTTAAAAAGAAAATCAATTGATGTCCCTTTAAATAACAATGAGAAAAGACACCAAGTCTTGGCCAAATTAAATTGCACATTATTTAACATAAGAATTTGTTATTTTTTTTCTGTTATACATACAATATTAATTAATAGATAGATTCACATATTTATGGAGATGCAGGAACAAACTGAAAAAAAATAAAAAATAGACCTATAAATTGCTAATCATTTAGTAATATGGTTCACAGTTTATATTAATTCCCAGCAACCATTTCTTTTGCTTACAAAAAAATTGCTTTTTAATTTCCTAGAGAAAAGAAAGTTGGTTTTGCATTACCATATTTTTGGGAATATAAGGCACATTAGTGCATAAGATGTAAAATATATCTGCAAAAAGATAAGAATAAAGACAAAAGGAGTTTTCTTTACCAACACATTTCGTCCTCTAATAGGCTTTATATCATCAAAATTTTCTAAGGCTGTAAAGTGTCTTTTTTAGTGTTCCTAAATTTTAAAGAAATTGTTGGTAAAGAAAAGTTTTCCTTGTTTGTGTGTGTGTATATATATATATATATATATATATATATATATATATATATATATATATATATATATATATATATATACACACAAAAAAATACAATAAAAAACACAAATACCTTGTCAGTCATTTTTAATGAAAGATGTATTAGAGAAGGATTGCTGCTATATCTGTATATTATTCATACCATCCATTTATTGGATGCAAGCAGCTTTTGGCATCAAATTTGGGGGTAAAAGAAAAACATGTCTTACACATAAAAACAAACCATTATGCAGGCTGATGTATTGAGATTAATGGTTTGTTATATGGTTAGCAGGTAAACAATGTTCTTTGCCTTTTTTGTCTGCCAGTTCATTTAATGAACAGTGACACAAGAAGTAGATATACTCAGAATCCATTTCACAAGAGGCTAATAAGCAAAATTAATGATTTAGGATAATTTTATCAGGTTTATCTATTTGAAGGGTATGTGGTGAAAGTCAACAGAAGGAATATAAGGAAAACAAAAACACTTTGCATATAGGTCTTGATAACTATGAAATAAACCACTTGCTATGTTGAATATCCAGATGATATTTTGCTCATATCTTCTTTTGTTTTTAATTATTTCAACTGGTTAAAAACATTGACAGATTTTTCTGTCTTGTGTTTAAGTCAAGTGGAAAATATTTTAATGATAAATTAATCTTGCACTGACCTTACTCATCTTAAAAGTTGGTTTTCTTTCTGGCAAATTTACTTAATTAAATCATTTATGCTTGTAGAAAAATATAGAATAAATAACATAGTTCTTGCTTTTTGCTTGTTTGGTTCTTTCAAAGCTATTTTTAAATCATAAATAGATGCAGAAATTAAAGTTAGAAAACATTTTCTGAAAATAAACAATTACTCAAATATAAAATTTTATCTCAAACTTTATATTTAATTTGAGAACTTGATGTAAAAGTTAACCTGGTTATATTGATTAACATGTTAAGTTTGTTTTGAAAACTATTACAAATTTATAAATATCAACAATTTATAAGCAGGTATCAATCATAAAGTGATTTTTCTCATGCATATTTTGCAAGTTGTTGTTAGTTTATTTGTTACTGTGTGCTACCTCAATTAAATTGGCTTTTTCAATCTCAATCACAAGATCCATAACCCATTAGAATTGTAGGGGCACCACATGTACTGCAGTTGCTGTAGCAGTAGTTTTTCCTTTGGTACATAGCCTGACAGAGCCCAACACTCTCCAGGCTGGTTTTGATTTCAGAGTTTTTCCTTCTCCTAGACCAGTTGCCATCCAAAACTATAGGATCTAGTCTGTCCTGCTATTCAACCCATAGATGGGGGAGGAGGGAGAAAATGACCTTCTTCAGGTTTTGAATTCAGGATTGTCCTTCTCCTAGATCAGTTGCCATCTAAGGCTATAGGACCCAGTCTGTCCTGCTATTTATCAATAGCTGGGGGAGAGAAGAGATGGATACATACCATACCCAAAGATATTAGCACGTTAGCGAATGAAATGATCATGATCAGAATCCAAACTCTGCTCTCTGATTTCTCAATCTAAGCCACTATCCATTACTCCACTGTGCCTCCTAAAGGGCTTTTTACCAGTTGTTAATATATAACATAAAATGAAGTTTTGACTGTACATTCAAAAGTAAAGTACAATAAACTACTGGTAGCGTTTATACTTGAAATTTCTATAAACTAGGGGTAAAAGTAAAGCATTTGAAAAGAACTTACACATCATTGGGCGGTTCCAACAGTTGTGCAGCCTACAAAACAGCAATATATATTTTTTGATGATACAGTATAATTTGGATGTATATATTTCAAAAACATGCTAAACAAACTTTTAAGCAATTAAAAAATCTTTAGTAATTAGTCAATTGTTTTTCAAGTTATCATGTGGTCTAATTTTGAATACAGGTACCAACAAAGTAACTCATCTTTGCATTAAAATTTGAATGTCCTCATGAGTTACAAGAAACAAGAATAAAAACAAATGATAAAAAAGTAGAGAACTTTAATCAAGTAAATATTTGTTGTTTGACATTAACAGAAAATAATGACATTTTTACAATTAAAGATTTGAGCAGGAAACAAATTGAACTATATTAAGAATACTGTTAAGGATTATATGATATGCAAATAGATATAGATGATAAAAATATTGTTTTAAGGTATTCTATATTTATGGTTAAAGGTGCATAATATTAGGGATAGAGCATATGTAAATATAAGAGGGAACACTGAGGTCAACACCAAGCTGCAACAATCTTCAGGTCATTTATATATATATATATATACATGAATTATTCACACAAAACTAATGCAAAGGTTAATGATTTAAATGGCAAGACATCCATCTCGCAAACAATTCAAATAGTACACAAAAAACCTCCAGATCCGTTATGAATGAATTGATCCTTGTTTATATAAATTTCTGCCGTATTAGTTGTTATTTTTTACTACAAGCTTTCGTCTGTTCCTACAGACATCTTCAGGTATATAATAGATGTTGTTCTTGTTTTTTTCTCTTAGTAATAAGAGGACATCGAAAATATATGTATTGTATCCAAAATGCTATTGAAAATGAGATATTGGTTTTTTGAACGCGCAAAACAACGCTGAGTTTGATTTTAAATTTCTTTTTTTAAAGTGTTTGCGTTTATACCAAATATGGTAATGAACAAATTATTTTACTGGTAAATTTTACTGTCAAAGTGGCATGAACAATATTGTTCAATAATTACAGTAATGTCGCACTTATTAACCAAAAGTCGCACATGGATCAGTTATTTAAATTACAATAAACTTTAAATTACAATAAAAATTTGACTTTGGCGCGTTCAAAAACCAATATCTCATTTTCAATAGCATTTCGGATACAATACACATATATTTTCGATGTCCTCTTATTACTAAGAGAAAAAAACAAGAACAACATCTATTATATACCTGAAGATGTCTGTAGGAACAGACGAAAGCTTGTAGTAAAAAATAACAACTAATACGGCAGAAATTTATATAAACAAGGATCAATTCATTCATAACGGATCTGGAGGTTTTTGTGTACTATTTGAATTGTTTAAGTAGATGGATGTCTCGCCATTTAAATCATTAACCTTTGCATTAGTTTGGTGTGAATAATTCATGTATTTGTAAATTGATTGCACGTTTTGTATTATATATATATATATATATATATATATATATATATATATATAAACTGATAGGTAAGCAAATGAAAAAATAGAAATATTTCATTAGTGACATGTTTCACTCAGAGAAGGACCTTCTTAAGATTAATAATGGTGTTATTGATGGAGTTAGTTGCAGAGAGGGAGGAGAGTTGGTGCATGACACCATGACTGGTGTCAAAGGTTGACTGGTGATCTAATTTATATTTCTAAAGAAAGAAAAATATTTTCATGTTAAAACAATGCGATACCATGAGTTATCTAGTTTCTGTCACTTATAGAGTATAGTGTGAGAGGTGAAATTGTAAGCTTGGGTGGAATTGGTCATTAGGTACAGTCTTAGGTGTGTTTAATTTAAGTGTTGTTTTCATTTGATAAAGGAATTGTTCATTGAAATGATTGACACAAAGCACATCTTTACTGATCAGGTTTGTTTTGATCAGGGATATAACACATTTTTAGATAAAGGTGACAATGACACCTGTGATAATCAGGTCAAATGAAGGTGAGGTTCCAACACATGGAAAATGTTCCACTGAAGGTGAATACGAGTGATGCAATTTTGATTGGTCTGCCAGTGAGAAAAGGGCTGGGGTGGAGCTTTCCCCTCTGATACTTACAACACAGGGCCATTATTTTGATTGGACCACCAATCATATTGGGTTCTTGGGGTTCTTTCTCCCCTTCAAGGCACATGATACAAGACCATTGGTCAAGCATTATTATTGGCTGGCCAATCAGAGCAGTGCAATTAGGGTTTGCACCACCATAAAAAACAGACGCCAAAAGAGCAGATATGTAAGACCAAACTGGTCTCACCACTAGTAGACCAACACTCTCTCTGCCAGATGATGGTGGTGCCTCAATCAGCTAGAGTCCTGTTCTCTGTGCCACTTTTTGAATTCTCTCAATGAACTGCCTTCATTTAAATAGTTGAATGATTCTGGGCTGTTTAGCCATAACTGCAACCATCAGTGTGGCGGACATGAGACAGAACCTGGGATGAGCACAACTGGTCGCGACTTGCCTTGTCCCCGCCAAAAAAGAGCCCGTATTTGCTTAGCATGTAAAGCTACTGCAGTTGAAATGAGGGAGAAAAAAGCACTTACCGCTCTGCCATAATCCGTCCTCGGCCAGATAACGTAAAAGAATGAGGGGGGACTTGCATTGCATTTTTATGCAATAAAGATGCAATGCATTATGGAACATGGACGCAATGAATTATGGGATCACATGAAGACGCAAGGGATTATGGGTATATGGACAAATATAAAAGCAACTACTTTTTTCCCAGTGGGGCAGTTCTTCGAGTGACGTTCACGGTTGGCGGCAAGAACAGTCTGTTAGTGTGATTTTGAGACAGAACTCAAGAAGGAACGACTCAAGGTTGAAATACCAGCTGGGAGAGCTTGAATTTACTTGCTGGTTGCTGTTTTTCTTTATTCGCCTCAATCAGTCAACCTCTTCCTCCCAGCTTAAGAATTCCTTATACTGGGAAACTTCTTCAAATCCCTTTTGTTTATGTATTCATTATATTAATCATAGTACCATAAATAAAAGTTATTTTTACACTTGTTAATGAGTTTTGTAGAAGTTAATTCAATTTCAAGCATAACCAAGACAGAGAGGAGTCAAGCCTGATCTTTGACAGTTCTTCACTAATATTCTTGCATATACTGAAACACAACATAGGGGTGCAGGATTGTTGCAGAGCAAGCTCACTGGAGACAGACCAAAGTAAGTGTGGCATTCAGCGAAGCATGTGGCAACAGGCTTATAATTGGTGTCCATGACAAAGGATTCAATGCCAGGAACTCATCCCAGCAACAGTGTCATAAGTGGGCAGGAGAAATACAACAGATACTAGCAACATTTTATACTGAATATATTAAAGATACAGCTTTAAATTTAAAATTTGACTTCTTGTATATCTGAATGTTTAACTTAGCCAACATCAATCAGCTTTTTATCGCTTTTGTTCTTATTTTATTGTTTATGTTTTTGGTTAAAAATTGTTTTGATGTTTTTGATTTTATTGTTGATTTTTCTGATTAAGTCATAGTTTTGTGAGATAAAGAGCTGTGATATGATTCTGTAAGTAAATTTACCATAGAGGATTCTGAAATTAGTGAACTTTCTATGCATTTTCGTCTGAATAAATTATGTTCTCTCTTAATTAAAGCTGTGTTCCTTAAACCAAAATTATGATCAGACCTATTACAATGAATGACTAATGCACTAAGTATATTGTTTTGTAAAAGGTGCATTTTGTATGTATATCATTTTTTAATTAAATTCTTGGATGTTTCAACTTGGGACATTTTTGACAGTTTATTTTGTAAATTCCTGCTTCAGATTTAATATTGTTCTTAATTTAGTTTTGTGTTGATTAAATCTCTCATTGTTTTTTTTAAGTAGTTGTAAAAAATTTTATATTAAGTGCTGTAACATCCTACAAATTTTAAATAAAAAATGAAACCTGGGCATGTATAAGTAATACATCAAAGATTTCAAATAATATATATCACAATGTTTATATATATATATGGTTGACTGCTCATTTTCTGAGTATGACAGTCTGCTGGTATGGCACCTGGCTAATCCCTGTTGCAGATGCTTATTCAGGCACAATTGTCTTTCTTCAACATTCATAGAGCCAACCTGTGGTTTATACTGCAACTTAGTTGCAGTTTCTGAGAAAGAGCACATAATCTGGTGTGATCAATATTTTTAAATGAGGCTAGTACACTCAGACCCTTGTTTTGTTAATTATTAAACACAGCCATTGGTTAGTTTGTAAACTTATATATATATATATATATATATATATATACAGTTATTTATTAAGCTTAGTTCTGACACAATGTCACAACTATAGAGTACTCAATATGAAACAAACACATTATTTTAGAGTAATGATTAGCAGAACTTGTTAACCATAAGACTATGTTTTTTTTACTAATATTCAACCAATACAAGGCCCAGGTGCCACTCAAGGTAGAAGGTTACTGTGTGGACTTAGATTAGTGAAGGAAAAGACAAGCATTAGGAGTATAGAACTGAAGTAGACTTTAGAAGTAACTGGAAACCCAATCCTAAACAGGAAACAAGAGATAAACCTCTACAAAAGACTGGGGAGGAGTGTGAACCAGATGATAGGCAAACATATCTAAACCTATTGGTGGAGAAGAGAAAAAATAAAATAATGAATAAAATTTTGCAGTTCAGATACAGATGTTAAAGACATCATGTTTTTTATACATAACAATTTTAAGAACTGATGATTAAACTAATCCTTATATGCACATGAGATTACTTCACCTTCTATCAGGGGACTTCATTTAATGCCCATTAGATTGGGGTGGAAATAAACAGTATAAAAAGGAAAGGATATAAACACTTTCTCTTTCTTGCCTTTTCAATCACAGGATGCAGTAGATACAAGATGTATCCAGTTTATCCTCGGGAGAAACAGCAACAAACCAACTACTTACTCTCAACCAAACCATGTGGTGCACTTGCACAGCTGATCATATAAATGTTTTTCTTTCCTTTTTTCTGAATTATATCTATCTATATACACATAAATATAATTTCCTTTCTTCTTTAATTATTTTGTTGTATGTATAATAAAATATCTACATGTTGAATTCATTTATTTTGTAAGTTTTCAACCTTGTCCATCCCAAGTGGTAACTTTTTGACGCACATGCTTAAAAAGCGAGATAGTTTTAACATAAATTGAAAAAATGCAAATCATGTTGATGAATTATAGTCAATGTTACAAAGCTTATTTTGATAAAATGTGAATGTGATAATTGCTCTTGGCTATAAACTTTGATTCACACTGCAAATTTTGACCTAGTTCATAAAAAGTCAAACAAAAGTAGGAAAGAGTTTCTAAATTGTCTGCCAAATGGAAATGAGGCAGGGCTGTCATTGGCTTGTTTATTGACCAATCAGCGGACTCATTACATGCTGGTTACAACAATGCTGTGAAAGAGACCTCTGGATTGGCCATTTCCTTTATTTTCTTAAAAGGAGCCATTACAAGTGAATCTTTAAAATCTTTTTACAGGTGAAATATCTGAATTTGTTACATAATTTTAAAACGTTCATTATAAAGAAAGTCCTGTGTATTTGCTTTACCATTTTGGCTGCTCTATCATGAGGTGTCTCAAAGACAATGTACATTGTCTCCAGTGCTCTCTTAAGAATTCTTTCTTTTTTTTTTTAATACAAATGTTATTCTAAGATATATTACCATTATTTGTGACAAAAAAAGAAGCTCCCTTCCAATTCTAGATTTGAACACAAATATTTTTTGTGGATTTTGAACATTGGGAGTAGTAAAACATTTGTAGCCAACAGTAAGCTGATTATATAGATAGAAAGCTAAAACAATAAAAGTCCTCTTACACTGTGTCTTCTCATTTCACTTTCCAGAAATTTTTGTTGCAATCCTTTTCTGAGAACTTTAAGTTGGTTCAGAACATCTGCACCTAAATAGAAAAAAAAATAACAGTCTAATTATCAGGAAAGGATGATTAATTTAGGAAAATATGTTTCAGTGTTAATGGGGGTTTCCTTCCTAGCATTTGATTTATAGTAGCATTGAACATCAACATGATTATGTCATCATTTTCTCTGTTAAATATGATATCCATTTTAACTGTTGCTGCTGTTGAAAGTCTTCAAGTGATGTGGTTCCTGTTATTTGGTATAGTTCTTTGTCTATGATTCTGTAACACCAGTTCACAAGGTTCTAAGCAGTGTGGTCTTCACCAAGGCCATTTTTAACCATTCATTTTAGAAAGCAGCTGTATACAACTGGCAGTTTTGATATTTCTGAATGGGTTTTGGTGCCATGCATGATTTCAGGTTAATGTTTCGGCTTTGTTACAATTTGTGGTGTTGGGCAAAATTATCTCTGGTACAGCCTATTCTTTTTCCTATAAATTTTCTTTTCAAGGTATTTAAAGTGTTTAGTATTTAATTTTGAATAACTGATTGATTCAGGTTTGGTGCCATCATTGTTTTTCATTCAAATTCAGATTAGTTAAAAAGGTTTAAATTTAGAGGAATTCATTTTCACATAAAAATATTTATGATAGATTCAGGTTTGAAATGCCATCATTGTTTTCATTAAACAAATTCCAGATCATAGTTTTCTTGGAACATATGTAACATTTGAACAGATTTGAAAATAATTGTAAAATTTTCTTAAGAAACAATTTTTCCTGTCCAGGATGTTGATTTTCCATTTCAAGACCATTTTAGCTTATCCCAACTAAAGAAAATGTTTGTTTGAATTAAGAGAAAAATTAGGATAACAAAAGATGTTTATTTTCAGCAAATGAAATGAAATCACCACATCATTAAGCAATTCATTAACAACATAAACAACATTATGAACAGATGAATGAAATGAAATACTACATAAAATTAAGCAATTCATTAACAACATAAACAAATATATGAACAGAGAATGAAATGAAATACCACATAAAATTAAGCAATTCATTAATAAACAAATATTGAACAGATGAATGAAATGAAATACCACATTTAAGCAATTTAACAACATAAACAACATATGAACAGATGAATGAAATGAAATACCCATAAAATTAAGCAATAAACAACATAAACAACATATGAACAGATGAATGAAATGAAATACCACATAAAATTAAGCAATTCATTAACAACAACATAAACAACAGAACAACTGCATTTTTTTTTTGGTCTGAATTAAAAATAATTGAAAAAATAACAGCAGAAACAATTTATGAATCCTGTCCAGAAAATACCACATAAAAATTTGAAATTCATTAACAACATAAAAACATATAACAGTTCTTGAAATGAAATACCAAAAATTGCAATTCATTAACAACATAAACAACATATGAACAGATGAATGAAATGAAATAACAATAAAATTAAGCAATTCATTAACAAATGAAAACAATGAACAAATGAATGAAATGAAATACCACATAAAATTAAGAATTCATTAACAACATAAACAACATATGAACAGATGAATGAAATACCACATAAAATTAAGCAATTCATTAACAACATAAACAAATATATGAACAGATGAATGAAATGAAATACCACATAAAATTAAGCAATTCATTAACAACATAAACAACATATATGAACAGATGAATGAAATGAAATACCACATAAAATTAAGCAATTCATTAACAACATAAACAACATATGAACAGATGAATGAAATGAAATACCACATAAAATTAAGCAATTCATTAACAACATAAACAACATATGAACAGATGAATGAAATGAAATACCACATAAAATTAAGCAATTCATTAACAACATAAACAACATATGAACAGATGAATGAAATGAAATACCACATAAAATTAAGCAATTCATTAACAACATAAACAACATATGAACAAATGAAATGAAATGAAATACCACATAAAATTAAGCAATTCATTAACAACATAAACAACATATGAACAGATGAATGAAATGAAATACCACATAAAATTAAGCAATTCATTAACAACATAAACAACATATGAACAGATGAATGAAATGAAATACCACATAAAATTAAGCAATTCATTAACAACATAAACAAACATATGAAATGAAATGAATGAAATGACCAATGAAATTAAATGAATTCATTAACAACATTAACAACATAAACAACATATGAACAGATGAATGAAATGAAATACCACAAAAATTAAGCAATTCATTAACAACATAAACAACATATGAACAGATGAATGAAATGAAATACCACATAAAATTAAGCAATTCATTAACAACATAAACAACATATGAACAGATGAATGAAATGGTTAAGCAATTCATTAACAACATAAACAACATATGAACAAATGAAATAAATGAAATACCACATAAAATTAAGCAATTCATTAACAATGAAAACAAATATATGAACAGATGAATGAAATGAAATACATAAAATTAAGCAATTCATTAACAACATAAACAACATATGAACAGATGAATGAAATGAAATACCACATAAAATTAAGCAATTCATTAACAACATAAACAACATATGAACAGATGAATGAAATGAAATACCACATAAAATTAAGCAATTCATTAACAACATAAACAACATATGAACAGATGAATGAAATGAAATACCATAAAATTAAATTCATTAACAAATATAAACAACATATGAACAGATGAATGAAAAAATGAAATACCACATAAAATTAAGCAATTCATTAACAACATAAACAACATATGAAATAGATGAATGAAATGAAATGAAATTAAGATTAACAACATAAACAACATATGAACAGATGAATGAAATGAAATACCACATAAAATTAAGCAATTCATTAACAACATAAACAACATATGAACAGATGAATGAAATGAAATACCACATAAAATTAAGCAATTCATTAACAACATAAACAAATATATGAACAGATGAATGAAATGAAATACCACATAAAAATTAAGCAATTCATTAACAACATAAACAACATATGAACAGATGAATGAAATGAAATACCACATAAAATTAAGCAATTCATTAACAACATAAACAACATATGAACAGATGAATGAAATGAAATACCACATAAAATTAAGCAATTCATTAACAACATAAACAACATATATGAACAGATGAATGAAATGAAATACCACATAAAATTAAGCAATTCATTAACAACATAAACAACATATGAACAGATGAATGAAATGAAATACATAAAATTAAGCAATTCATTAACAACATAAACAATTATGAACAGATGAATGAAATGAAATACCACATAAAATTAAGAATTAACAACATAAACAACATATGAATGATGAATGAAATGAAATACCACATAAAATTAAGCAATTCATTAACAACATAAACAACATATGAACAGATGAATGAAATGAAATACCACATAAAATTAAGCAATTAACAACATAAACAACATATGAACAATGAATGAAATGAAATACATAAAATTAAGCAATTCATTAACAACATAAACAACATATGAACAGATGAATGAAATGAAATACCACATAAAATTAAGCAATTCATTAACAACATAAAACAACATATGAACAGATGAATGAAATGAAATACCACATAAAATTAAGCAATTCATTAACAACATAAACAACATATGAACAGATGAATGAAATGAAATACCACATAAAATTAAGCAATTCATTAACAACATAAACAACATATGAACAGATGAATGAAATGAAATACCACATAAAATTAAGCAATTCATTAACAACATAAACAACATATGAACAGATGAATGAAATGAAATACCACATAAAATTAAGCAATTCATTAACAACATAAACAACATATGAACAGATGAATGAAATGAAATACCATAAAATTAAGCAATTCATTAACAACATAAACAACATATGAACAGATGAATGAAATGAAATACCACATAAAATTAAGCAATTCATTAACAACATAAACAACATATGAACAGATGAATGAAATGAAATACCACATAAAATTAAGCAATTCATTAACAACATAAACAACATATGAACAGATGAATGAAATGAAATACCACATAAAATTAAGCAATTCATTAACAACATAAACAACATATGAACAGATGAATGAAATGAAATACCACATAAAATTAAGCAATTCATTAACAACAACATAAACAGATGAATGAAATACCATGAAATGAAATTATGAAACAAAAATGAAATATAAATGAACATAAAATTAAGCAATTCATTAACAACATAAACAACATATGAACAGATGAATGAAATGAAATGACATAAAATTAAGCAATTCATTAACAACATAAACAACATATGAACAGATGAATGAAATGAAATACATAAAATTAAGCAATTCATTAACAACATAAACAACATATGAACAGATGAATGAAATGAAATACCACATAAAATTAAGCAATTCATTAACAACATAAACAACATATGAACAGATGAATGAAATGAAATACCACATAAAATTAAGCAATTCATTAACAACAATTCAAACAACATAAACAACATATGAACAGATGAATGAAATGAAATACCACATAAAATTAAGCAATTCATTAACAACATAAACAACATATGAACAGATGAATGAAATACCACATAAAATTAAGCAATTCATTAACAACATAAACAACATATGAACAGATGAATGAAATGAAATACCACATAAAATTAAGCAATTCATTAACAACATAAACAACATATGAACAGATGAATGAAATGAAATACCACATAAAATAAAAACAACATAAAACAACATATGAACAGATGAATGAAATGAAATACCATAAAATTAACAATTCATTAACAACATAAACAACATATGAACAGATGAATGAAATGAAATACCACATAAAATTAAGCAATTCATTAACAACATAAAACAACATATGAACAGATGAATGAAATGAAATACCACATAAAATTAAGCAATTCATTAACA